AAGGTAAAGCCTTCTTTCCATGTGGTAATTCAACCACCTCCCAAGTCTGGTTTTGCTCCAAAGCTTCAAGCTCAGAAGCCATGGCTTTCTGCTATCCAGGGTGCATAATAGCTTGAGAAAAACTGAGTGGTTCAGTGATATTGGAGATAGAATTGAGAAGCTGTTAATTAGAAATAAAGAGAGCTGCAAAGGGAGATAAAATAGGCTAATGGGATGAGTTAAGCAGTCTACAGTTAGGTTAGTTAGATAAATAGAATTACAAACATAATTATTCAAATATGCATGCATGTTGTGTTCCCTATGCGAACTTTTAAGAGCAGGGATATGAGAGGGAGATGTAAGACTGAAGATAGTAGGTGTGAAAATAGGAGAATGAGAGGAAACAAGGGAAGTTGGGTCAGGAGTAGAAGAAATATAGGGATCATGGACAGTAGGAATGGAAGAAACTTTAGTGAACATAGGGGTTGAAGAAGGGAGAGAAGAAAATGGGCAATTAGTTTCATGAAAAAGAACATCTCTGAAAAAAAACACCTTTTTAGATTGTAAGTTTAAAAGCTTATACCCTTTCTTTCCTAGTGGATACCCTAGAAAAACACAAGACATAGCTCTAGGTTCAAACTTAATTCTATTGTGTGACAAAGTAGAAGCATAGCAAAGACACCCAAATCATCTAAGGAAACTATAGTTAGGAGGCCTGCAAAAAATGAGTTCATAGGGAGTTTTTCCATTTAGGATAAAAGATGGGAGTCCGTTAATGAGAAAGGTAGCAGTAGATAAGCATTCTCCCCAGTAAATGATAGGAAGTTGGGATTGATATAATAAAGCCCTAGAGGTCTCCAAAAGATATCTATACTTCCTCTCAACAATGTTGTTTTGTTGAGGGGTAGCAGTGCAAGAAGTCTGGTGGATAATTCCCTGTGAAGCAAAGAAATCAGAGATGGTAGAACCCCCTCCTAACTCTAAGGCATTGTCAGACCTGATGGCTTTGACCTTAGAATTAAATTGCTTTTCTACCATAACTAAAAAATACTTTAACATTGAAAAAATATTGCTCTTGGCACTCAAAAAATAGGTCAGAGTCCCCCCACTATAATCATCAACTATGGTAAGAAAGTACTTGTAGCCATTGTAGGTATGTGACTTGTAGGGGCCCCAGGTATCAATGTGTATCAGTTCAAAATTAGCAGTAGTCTTGTTAGAGCTAAGGGGGAAGGCAATCTGGACTGCCTTGCTAATGGGCAAATGTCACAAGTGCAATCAGAATTAGAAGTTGAGGAAATGAAACTGATATTCTTCATTGCAGAAAAAAAAATGTGGACCAATCTAGTGTGCTATAATTTTACATCAGATTTGCTGCTTACAGGAATAAAAATTAAACTATAATTTAAAGTACAACTGGTAGGTAAAACACTAGACTTAGAAGCTACTGTAGTGCTGAAAATTTTCTGAAGCTGACTAGGAGAAGAGTTGATCAAGTAAATACCATTCCTTGCTTCACCAAGAACCATAAGGGTCTTCACTAAAAGGCCTTGCATAAGACAACAGGTAGAAGAAAATATAAGATTGTATATCAGTTATTTACAGAAAATTTGTATTGATATGAGATTAACCCTAAATGAGGGAACAAAGAGCACATTATGTAGGACAAGATCAGGGCAAAGAGTGACAGTTCCCCCACGAGTGACCTTAACCCTGAAAGAATTGGGCAAGTTAATGATCAAAGGCGATGGCAAAGGGACAAGAAAGGTAAAAAAATTCTGAACATGTGTTCAGAAGCCACTGAATCTATGATCCAAACATTTAGTATTAGCATAAGTTAAATATGCTACATGATTGTGGAAAATGTTACCAGCACACTGAACCATATTTGCCTGCACATCTGAAATTGAAGATCCTGGATCATTAACCTGAATATTCCGAAGCAACTGAATCAGTTGAGAAAACTGATCCTGTGAAAGCTCCCTCCCTCATTTGATTTGCATGAGGAGTTTGTACAATTGTTGGAGCTGCAGTGATGACTGTATTGCTTCTCACTCCACCTTGTGTCTTTCCTGTTTTAGTGAATTTGAAATCTGAAGGGAAGCCTGTGATTCAGTAGCACTTGTCAACTGAGTGACCTAGTTTCTTACAATGAGAACACACAAGGTTATTCCTTTTTCCTTTAAAATCAACTTGTTGAAACCTTTGTGTTGAAGAATACTGTTGTGAAGCTAGAAATGAAGAAAAATCCCCAGGAAAATTAGGATTGATATATGCTTCTTTTTTGTTTCTCATCCTGAATCAATAAAGCATATGCATTATTGACATTGGGGAGTGGAGACATCATCAGAATAGTGTTCCTAGCAGCACTATAGATGTCATTCAACCCCATGAGGAATTGGACTAGCCTCTCATCTTGGAGAGATTTTACCATCTTCACATTTCCTCCAGAATTGCATGAGCAAGAACATGTTACTTTAGTGTAGAGAGTGCCAAGTTCATCCCGTATCATTTTCAGTTTAGTGAAGTAACCTGCAACATCATTTGATCCTTGGACTAAATCAATAAGTTCTTTTTGCAGATGAAAAAGTTTGGCACCATTTGATTATCTAAATCTAGCGGTGGGCAAAATTCCGACCAAACCGAAAAAATCGTCTGAACCGATAATTTTAGTTTTTATGGTTTGATTTATTCGGTTTATTCAGTCGGTTTGCGGTTCCTATTTTTTAAAAGTTTGGTGTTCGGTTCGGTGTTCGGTTTTGGTGCTTCGGTTTTTCGGTTAACCGAAAAATGAAGTTTTATACTATAAATTCCGATAGCCTCCCCTTCACCTGTTTGTCTCTAGCCAAATTTACTTACCCACACTCTAAATGTTGCAACCCAAAACACTATTTTTGAAAATTAAATTTTATTTTCCCATTACAAATCATAGTCAATTCAGTCCACCTTTTGATTTTTTATTCTTTTCTCTTGTTTGTATCTTATTGAATCTTGATGTTCTTTATGAAAATATAACTAAGAAAACTTATTTGTGTAACAAACTAATTTAAAGCATTCTTGAAGAGAAAATAGGCGTATTGGAGAAAAAATAATTGAGAAGGGAGAAGAATATGAAAATGAAAGCATTTTGTTCATTTGCAAGTAGTTTAAACTAAGGTTAGTTGTGCAAATTAAACACTCTATTCATTTCTAGTTGTGTAAGCTAATCTTTCCTTGCTTAGTCTTCTTTTGATATTCCTCTGTTTTGGTTGAATCAATAGGTGTTAAAGTATTATTTTAGGTTTTTTCTTAACCATTGTTTGTAAGTGATTTGGCATAAAAGGCAGAAGCATCATATCAATTGATATTCTATTGTTGATTCTATATATCATACTTTTGTTCATTACTTGGTATAAGATCGTAGTCACCCAGTTATGGAATTTTATTAAATTGCTGCTACTATTTTAATTAAATAAGTCAATTGTAGAAACACTTAAATTTTAAAACTTACTTTTAGTTTTAAAAACCCAAAGAAAAAGTCTAATATCGCAAGTTTAAAACGTCCGAATTGAATCGAAAATCGACCGAACCGAACTAGCAAAAACCATACAAACCGAACTAATTTCAGTTCGGTTATTGGTGTATCAAATAAAAAATCGAAAACCGATAAAACCGAACCGAATTTTATGAAAATCGAATCGAACCGACCGACGCCTACCCCTATCCAAATCTATCCTCAAGATCAGTCCACAAATCTACTTGGAGTAGATGACACTCCCAGCAATCTCCTTGGACGGAGAATTCAACAACTAGGAGGTCACCATGTCATTGTAGTGATTCCACAACTCGAAGTCTGCTGCATTAGAAGCTGGAGAAGGACAACTGCCATCAATGAATTCCAACTTATTTTTTGCTGAGAAAGCAATGGGAATTGATCTCCTCCACCCACCATAACCTTGGCCATCAAAGGAGGAAGCAACAAGAGTCATGCCCGGAGAATCAGAGGCATGAAGGAAATATGGATCTAGGATCCACGACTATCGAGGTCCCAGATCCAGTCCCAGTTGCAGCAGTAGTCACCAATTGGATTTGAGGGAAAGAAAATTTAGAAGAAAGAGCTTAGTGGTACTCTGATACCATGTAGGAAGGCTGAATTAAAGAAGACATAATCGAATAATTTTCGACTGACTTTCTTCATTCACTGTGTACATATCTATACACTTTATCAACTACGAGAATAAAATAATAAAGAAAGAATCATATACAAGTGTCTAACAAGTATTGGCCAAAAGAATAACAAAATAACTAACTATGGAATCCTATACAATAGGTTGTGATAACAATCTCACGTGACAATAGAAGGATCAAGAATATGATCCAATATTTTATGTCTATCTAATTTCTTAGTTGGACGGTCAGATTAAGCCCAACATAATTTGATCTAATGTTCTCCAAGCTTCCACGTGTCTTATTTAGCTGGGCTGAAGGAGAAGATATACATCTTCTTGTATGAGGCCCAAATGACAGATTACCCATTCTCGAACATATCGAACCTTTACCTTATTCATCTGCTCGATTAACACCATTGCTAACAGTCTATGTGGGCGTTTGGATATAAGAATTATAAAATTCCAAAAAAAGGTAAATTTTTTTTTAAAAGTGAAAATAGTATTTGAAAATTAGAGTTGTGTTTGGACACGAATATAATTTTGGGTTGTTTTTGAATTTTTGTGAGTGATGTGAGTGAAAATTTTGAAAAACAGCTTTTTGGAGTTTTTTAAATTTTCGACAAAATTCCAAAATTCATTTTCAAGTGAAAATTGAAAATTTTATGGTCGAACACTGATTTCGAAAAAAAAAATAAAAAAATTCTTATGTCCAAACGGGCTCTATGAATCGATTTGGCCCAATTTCGCCTGTTATAATGGGCTCGTTATTGGGCCGGTCCGTGGTTTGGCACACACTGCTACAGAGCAACTTTTGCTTCAGGCACGTGGAAGACACGCGCAGCATATATTTGTTGAGGAAGTGCAAACTATACAGTTGAAAATTGAAAGCCCCACCCAAGCGCTGAATTCTCAAATTCTTTATATTCCAAAAACTTGGAAAGCAGTGTCGTGTTGGAGGGGAGTGGCAGCCGATCCATAGCAGCATTTGGAGTTTCTAGGGTTTCGTTCTTTTTTGTGAAGCCCTGTTCTTTTCTCACTCCTAATTGGCAGAAATGAAGCTCACTGTAAAGACTCTCAAAGGCAGTCACTTCGAAATTAGGGTTCAGCCCTCCGATACCGTTAGTCCTTTTCCTTCTCTCTCTCCTTTTTTTTTGGCGTCCTTTTCTTTTATATTTATACCTGCATTTGTGATGCAATTCCAGTTTCAAAATTTCACCTTTCCTTTCTCATTTCTCGTTTTTTATTTTTTTGTGTGTTTATATTCATAAATGCTAAGTTGATAGTGTTGAATGAGCAAAAAAGACAACTTTAACTCTCATTTGCATTTTTTGGCAATTTTGTCCTATTTACCAGTTAATACATTTGGTTATTTGCTTGAAGTTATTTATTTATTTGCTATAAAATCCTGGTTTTTAGATGTTTATGCTTCACACCTTTTTTATATCCCTAGGTTAACATAAGCTAAATGGTTGTTATAACTTGTGCTCGCGTGCCTGTTCTACATGTTAAAGCCAATGTTTAGAAGCATCGGGTGCGCAATGCTCTCAACCTAAAATTCCTTATCAATCTTATAACGTTTAAGTGCATTTTACTAATAAAAACATTACCAGTCTAATTTCTGGAGTCTCGGATGGTATAATTATTTGATTGCTTTGAGTTTTAAAATGATGGGGCTACACTTAATTGATTAGTCATTAAAATTTATATTTTTTGTGTAATGCGAGATGTGATTTCTTGGAATTGTAGATTATGGCTGTCAAAAAACACATTGAAGATGTGCAAGGAAAAGATAATTACCCATGTGGGCAGCAGTTGCTGATTCACAATGGTAAAGTGCTGAAGGATGAAAGTACGTTAGTGGAAAACAAAGTCTCTGAGGATGGTTTCCTCGTTGTCATGCTTAGCAAGGTATACCTGTAGATCTTCAGGTTATCTTTACCTGTGCACATTTATTGCTCTTAAGTAATTGGGTTTTGATATCTCCAATGCTAACCCGAGACTTTGACTCGAAGAATTTACTGATTTTATATCTATTTATGTGTTCTCTGTAGAGCAAAACTGCTAGCTCAAGTGGGACAACATCTGCTCAGGTACTGTGTAACCATTCAGGATTTCATTCATTAGGTAGTTTTAGTGTATCTATCTTCTGATAGCAACCTTCTTATTTTTCCTTGTAACTTTGCATCTCCTTGACGCCTCTTTTCATGGAACACATTACTTCATCAAAAAAAAAAAAGAGAGATAGAATCTTTCTTATTTCTTTTCTTTCAGCAGCCATCAGTTACTGCAGCTAATCCTACTCCAGCACCTGAAGTGACTCCGCCATCACAGTGAGTTACAACTTTCACTAATCACTATTGCTTATGTTGGATCCGCTCCTTCTCATGATGCAAATGATGTGTAGGGCCCCAAAGAATGTTGCATCAGCTTCTGATGCTGCAGCAGCTAGGTAAAAAAATTATGCTAGTATATTACAAAATACAAGCTATGTTCTTTTGGATCCCTTCTGTTCCTTTTCTCAGACCACTCATGGAGAGTGTGTTTCGATACCCTATAGAGGGAATTAACGTCTTTTACGTTGCTGCAGTCTTCCAACTGATGATTATAGTCAAGCTGCGTCAAATCTAGTTGCTGGCAATAATCTTGAGCAGACAATACAACAAATTATGGATATGGGTGGCGGCAGCTGGGACAAAGAGACAGTTACACGTGCACTTCGAGCAGCTTATAACAATCCTGAAAGAGCTGTTGATTACTTATATTCAGTATGTTCCTGGTCCTCTGTCACTTTAAGAAGGTAGAAAGAATGCACAAGTTTGTTTGTCTTTTGTTTTTGATAAAGGTTTCTTTGGTCTGTAGGGAATTCCTGAAACAGCCGAAGTCGCTGCACCGGTTGCTCATGGTGGAGTTAATTCTGCAGCTGGGACTACTGCAGCGCCTACTGCACCTTCCTCTGGCGGACCTAATTCTGCTCCTTTAAATTTGTTTCCTCAGGTCTTTCAGAGCATTCCATTAATATTCAAGTCTTGTCCCTGTATTCACTATGTGATCTAAACTGGAGCTGTTACAGGAGAATGTTGCTGGTGCTAACGGTGCTGGTCTTGGATCCCTTGATTTTCTCAGGAACAACCAACAGGTATGGTTCTATTCATTATGAATTCATTTTCACTTTTCCATGTGGTCCTCCCTTTTGGTCGCGAGATCACCTCTCGCTTCTTGCATTCTTCCAATTCATAAATCCCACTCTGGATATATGGTGTGTCTAAGTTGCTCTAACCTCCTTAATCCTCTTGCAACTTATATTTTTTTTTTTCAGTTCCAAGCTTTACGTTCTATGGTTCAAGCTAACCCACAAATTTTACAAGTAAGTAGTGTTCTCTAATATTTTCGTTATTCAGTTTATTGTTGTTGTCATCTGAGTGTACACGTTGGATGCTGTTTTGCAGCCTATGCTTCAGGAACTAGGAAAGCAAAATCCTCAACTTTTAAGATCTATACAGGAGCATCATCAAGAGTTTCTTCAATTAATTAATGAACCTGTAGATGGTTCCGACGGGTTAGTGGCTTTCAGTGTGCTCTTAACCAAGCTAGAGAAGAAGCATTCTACATATTTATTGCCATGATGTCCTAGCATTTCTCCTTTCCAGTTCAAAAGATTTTAGCTTTGTCAAATCTGTTGTGGTCAAGTATAAAAAGATGTTATCATTTTGCAATCCTAATACATGGCAGTACTTAAAATTTTGGGAAAAAGGAAGAGGTCAAAGCTTTGTTCTTGGCTGTGAGATTTTAATACTTTTGGATGGCTATTTTTCAGGGACATCTTTGATCAGGCTGAACAAGAGATACCCCACACAGTTAGTGTCACACCAGAAGAGCAGGCGGTGATTGAGCGAGTATGTGACATCATTTTAACCCTAGCTGCTCTTGGACATTCAGTTGTGCATCGGTTTTGTAATATCTCTTAACTAATTTATTTCTCACTTGCAGCTGGAGGCAATGGGTTTTGATAGAGCTCTTGTCATTGAGGCTTTTTTGGCTTGTGATCGCAATGAGGAACTAGCCGCAAATTATCTGTTGGAGCATGCAGGAGATTACGAAGATTAAGTGGCAACGTATTTTAGCAGTATTTTTTTGCATTCACCAACAGGTTTTGGGTAGTTTTATAGTACTCGAGATGGATTGTAAAGGAGGTTTTACTTTAATGATTAATCGTTGGATCCAAAAATTCTCCCCAATTGGGGAAGCTTAACTTGTTAGCTTTTCTTTTTATTCACACTTTGTCCGCAAGAAGGAGATCCTCATTGTTTTCCCAAAAGAAACCGAAAAGAAAGTTACTTTTGGATTTCGTTCCAAGATGTAAAAACCAGCCAGAGACAAATTCGCTGCATGTATTATCATGTTAGCAATAGATAATAAATCATTTCTAGTACTGCATAAATGCAGTGGTCGCATTTTTATGCATGCTGAAAATATATATTCTAGTGTTTTATCATTCTATTAAACACATACATTATCATGTTATATAACTAAATCAATCTTGTAGACTTGTGTTTTTGAATCATATAAATGTTATGTATTGCTATAAATTGTCATGTTATATATTTTTTGAATTTTTATTTTGTCTCAAAAATGTTATTTTAAAAAGAAATTCATTGAACTCACGCTAGGTGTTTTTTTTTTAAATCTTACACCGGGTTCGATGATAGAAATAATGTTCTGCCATGCACTTTCGATTAAGTTCTTAAAATGCCAAGTACAACAATATACATGTTATTGTCAGCTACTGATTAGCAACTGATTTTTAAATCTGAAATGTACAATTTATAGTTAGATCCCCACAATATTAGCACCTGAAACATACTCCATTTAAATAAAAGCAAGCCCACAGTTATATCCACACAATTTTCGTCTGAATTGTACAGTTACATGAAATCAGACAACTTGCACCAAGTGCGTTATTCGTAAATGAAAAGGTACTCGGGATTTATCGACACAGTGACATCATAAACATTGTCCACACGACAGAACGGAGCATTGAAATCCTTGCATTATGGAAGTGCCGGTCCTCCAAAAGCATAGTTCAAACTTGCTTACATTTTAGAAATTATAATATTCATTACTTGGGTTGCTCAGAACTCTCTCTCTGGAAACAGAATTGGAGCAACTTGAGACCAGATAAACAAAGCAGCAGTTGCCCACCCGGTCACGATCCTGACCCAGACAGATGGCCACCCGACGTCCACCAATTTTCCACTCTCCCCCACGGAGGTT